TTTCTTTGTGCATATCACCAAGATGAAGAGCTCAAAGATGAATGTGTTTTATATGATGAGGGGATTTTAAAAGACAGGTGAAACCTGTTCCATTATGTCAAAAGTAAGCTTGAGTCAGACACACATCTTACATTCCCAAGCATCCTCTTCTGATTACTCCATGTGATTTTTGGCTTTTTAAGGACATCCTTGTAACTTTAAATCTCCAGCACACCTGCCACGATGGCAAGAAAACAAAGATGGTTCAAGCCAAGAGACAAGATACGCCAGTACGAGTTCAGCAAGTGTGCCATACAGATTCCAAACACTATATTCTCAACTCCGTTTCTTTTCATGAAATCAAAGAACATCGACACATGAACAACCTGATATTTCATCAAATCGATTCAGAAGATGTTGTTGAACCAATGTCCAAAGGCTATCTCAAATGGAAAGCACACTGTCAAAAAACAATGCCTCAAAAGAAAAAGAAAGTAGGTAAAAAAATGGGTAGATATGACATCTGAAGAGGAGTGGGTCTCTTCTGGAGATTCTGAATGAATATCTCTTTATTCTTTGTATTTTTCCTTGATAAGCTTAGAACATCATTTACTCTTTATGCTATTTTGGTTTGAGTCAACAGTGGTAGCATCTGCAATTCATTATGGCAACAATGCCTTGAGACTATTGTTGTGCTTCTCTCAAACAAGGAAGAGCCACCAGTCTTCATCTGGCAGATTGTGTAGGTGATGATTTTACTATGGATCCATCAAATCTTTCCAATTCAAAGAGAACAATTTTTGAGTGCAAGTAACATCCAGAGGGTTGAACTTATCAAAGTCCTTCCAAGGCCTAACTGGTGAAAGTTGGCATGCCAGGAAATGTGCGCACCCAGCTGAAGCACACCACATTTTCTTGTCCACAAAAATTTGAGGTGTGCGCACTGGCAACGACAACCAAAGCTGCAAGCCCCTGGTCGAGCTTAGTGCAATTTCCTTTGGAGGGAATGGTCAAGGGTTGGAGAACGGACAGACCATGCTCCCCAATTTTTTTCACCCAACAGTGGAAGGTTCTGTTGGGTGAACAAAATCTGGTTGACAACGTCGGTGGCAAGGGGGCAACCCACCGACAGTTGAACGTTCCTGCAAACCGCAATCCAACCCAACCGTTCAGTCAACCTGGGCGGATGGGGTGGACCACAGTGCACAAACGGTCATACAACCAACGCTGCCACAGATACGGTATCTGCCCGTATCTGCCATGTATCACTATGTATCTGAGCCCCAATAAAAAAAAACTATCTGACCAATCTGCTTTTATTTGCAAGGAGATTCAAAAAATTTGGTTTTTGGCCATGCAGCTTTGCAGAATTCTCCATGATACACACAGTGTATTGTATCTGTGGCAGCGTTGATACAACATGGCCGTTCAGCCACTGTGGTCCACCCCATCCTCCAACCAATGGGTTGTATCGCGGTTGGAGGATCGTTGTACATCCAGGATGGTTCCAGAACCACCCACCCACAGAAAATGTGGCCCAGTGGTGTATCTTCAGGCAATGGGCTTCCCGGCTGAAAAGGCTATTCAGAAGAAAGATTTCATGCTTATGGTGAATCAGATGGAAAAAGTCTTTGAGTCAATGCTCTATTATTGCCTTAGGTATGTATCTCACTTCACTTGTGCCTTTGAGTAAACCACCCAGCAATAGTTGAGCATTGTTACTTGTTCAATGCAGGACCATCATGAAGACAACCCGCAAACAGCTCAGCCCCGACCTTCTGGTTTTACCAACAGAGGAGTGGAATGCTATTGTGAATGCATGCTATGAACAATTTTGCTCACCTCCCGCCCAAAAAGCAGCAGAAGGCTGAGAATCACCAAGATTACACAACATGCTCATCCATATGCATGATTTCTCATTGGATGTTGAAGCAAAGAGATCCATGAAAGCTGGAGATGTTGGTAGACTCATGATTGTGTGGAAGAAGTGGTGTGTGATGGCCCAATCAATCCAGAAGATCACCAACTACTTGTCCTACCTACCACAGATGGTCCTGCTTCTGATGGTCGCACTTCCACCTTCATTGAGCAAGTATCTCCGTCACAACCTACTCATGTCACCCTTAGGTCGCCCAGATCATTTTGTTGCAAAGGACTTTTGGTTGGAAGAGCAAAACTACTGGCTGAAGTTCTTACATGCAAAAAGTGGCATTGGTCTGAACATTGAACGTCTAAGGGACCTGATATCACCCCCCCTCCGTTGGAGAGGCTTAGAGCATCTCTAACGGCCCTGCTGATGCGGGACCTGGGACCAACTTCAGCAGGCCGCAAGCCTTTTTTGGCCTCTAGCGGCCATGCTGAGCAAGCTGCTGATGGCTCCGGGGGTGGACCCAAGCTGCCCTCGGCTGCTACTTTTGGCAGCTTTGGCATCCCATCCTCCAAGCTGCCATAGCCACCTCTTGGTCCACCCGTCGTCCCATTTCCCCTTTTTTATGCACTTCTTGATATCAACACCACATATCGCGACACATCCTACACCAATACCATGCCTCCCAAAAGTGATTGACCAGAGTTGATTTGTTGTCTTTGTTGTAGATCGATTGTTTGTTGTAGCTCACTCCTCTGTTGTATCTTGCTCTCATCACCCTTGCCTGGTTTCTACATGCCTTCTCGCTTCTTTCTTTCACTACACAATCTCTCTTTCTTCTCGCTTCAAACTCTCACTTCTTCTCTCTTATCTTCTGAATGCACTAAATGAAAGTTGAAAAAAAAATGCAGGAGTTTGAGAGAATACAAAAATGTTTCATGTGTACAGAAATTTCAATGCCAGGTTCGATCCACCCCTGCCCACATCCACAGTCCATATTTTGGACTGTTGTGACATGTGGGTGACATCTTGGGACATCTACTCCTGGGCTGCTGAACTTGAGTTGATCCACCCCCAGACCGTTAGAGATGCTCTTAGTTAAGCTAGCCTGATCCCCCACCCTCAGAGCAACTCCTCGGGGGTCGCTAAATCGGGTCGCTATCCCACGTTTAGGGACCCGGACCCCAAAATACCCTCCCACCGCAGTCCCTATCAGCGTCCCAATTTTGCAGATTTCATTCTTGGGCTGTATCCAATCCCCAAATATGAGGATTGGATACGGACATTGGTTCAACAAGATTCACACAAAATTTGTGTGTTACTCCTGTGAAAAGTTAAACCATCCACCACACCACCTCCCCCATTACCCCCTATTCACTTTCAAACACAACCACGAATACCTTGGCTTCATCTAACACCTCCAGCACCCCATCTTGAACTAACACCTCCAATAACACCTTGACTTCAAGGATACTATGCATTGATTGAAATATTGATAGATACAAGCAGATCGTAAATCGACTGAGTGTCAACAAAAAAACAAATCGGAGATGAATGTTTGTCAATCGATTCATCAATCAATAGAGTCTACATAACTCAACCCGACTCTTCCTCTTCATCAATGCCAGAATCACCGAATGGATCTCTCATATGTCAATAATTTTGAATGAAAATCAGTCAATCTTCAGATTGCAAACGGTTTGGCTGACTAGTCTTGGTGCGAGATGTTCGATCCTAAATGAAGTTCTAGCTTAACAAATCCCCTCGACAGAGGGCCGGAGGCAACTCGCAAAGCGAGCCTCTGAAAGAGGGGCTTATGAGCGAAGACCAAATTTCAGCCTGGAAGCTGGTACAGTTTGTGGCTTTTCATTGGTAATTCCCCCTATCCTGTCCATTACTCTTGGCTCATCCAACCAAAAATGATGCGGCTAACTTTGTCACATACGTGACCATATGACCTATCGTCCTATTTTTTTTTGTAATCTTGGTTGCTAACACTTATCCATCCTTTGGATGGAAAGTGAGGACTTCAAATCAAGCTGAAATTCAGCTTATCCCATAACAAGTGGTACAAGACATAGTATGTCTTGTAGAGATGGCACATGAGGGCACATGAAGTGTCTAGTTGATTTTGTAGAGGCCAGTACAGGAAGTATGTCCCATATACAGGGAACGAAAGCGCATAAGTCATAGTATGCATTGTATGACAGCATACATAAGAATCTTGAAGAAGAATCCTGAGATGCTTCATCATCCTCAATGCCAAATGGCCTTTTTCGGAGGCAGGTCTTGCCAAGACCCGAGGGCCCTTGCCAAGTGA